TAACACAACGCCAATAGCAGTTATTTCCCAGCCATATTTAAACTGATTGTGTATATGGTATATCACCATTGATTGAGCATGCATATGCACGGTTTGCAGACATTTATAATTCGTGTTGAATGTGTTGTATGTGACCATTTGAAACTCGACTAATTGTGGTGTATTTTGACATGTATATTGACTGATGTTTAGCGTCTGTTCATGTGTCATTGATGCACCATTGACATGCTGTATTGTACAACATTATGTGGTGATGTTGCAATCAACAAATTGGTGCAACACTGAATGTATGTGGTGATTGTCGAGTATCGAGTTCATCTAGTTGTTTCTTGGTGTTTTCAATATCTATAAGCATCTTGTTCATAATTCCAAGGTATGTGTTGTGTGTCAATGGTCTTGTTGCTCATAATGTGTATTTGCTATTAGGTTATCAACTGTTGGTAGTGTTGCTCGTGGACATATGACGACATATTGATGTTGTATATAGTTTGGAGGAATATCACAAAAGTCAAAGATAAGCGTGAAAAAATGAACCAATATGTTGATTGTGTTGTTTAATAGAGTAAAAGGTTGACCCTTTTATAAAAATAATAGGACAGTTATGCGTATCCGTGATTTAAACGACATAACTGATAAAGTCCCTTGTTACCCTATAGTTATTGCATAAAAGGTGGCGATAGTCATTGCATCAAACAGTTATGCGTTGCGTATGGATCCTGATTCGTTTTATATTAATTGCCTAATATGTCTCACATTACCAATGTCCAACATTTTCAGGTACAACTACTTGATCAGTTGTAGTTATGGTTTCCTTCTGCAAATAAATGTGCCACTTGAACCTGAACCACTTGGTTGTTCAGGCAATCTAACACTATGCATAAAATTCATGATCAATATCAATTAACACATCCACACATCAATATCAAACAGCTTACTGTGTTAATGGCCAGAGCACTCGATAACCGTTTGAAATAGTAGGATATTTGCTAGTCGAGACTTCGCATCCACATCCAGCACCAAACCCAATGCGTTTATGTGCTCGATCAAATGTCAATCCAAGTTGGGCCATAAATGGTATACCAAGAATTGCATTGTCATTTGGACCAGCTTTTATAGCAAACACAACTATAATTCAACATGTACATTAGTCAGGTTAATCAAACAACACATTGCATACAATTGTCAATTATTTACAATTTTTAGAATCGACTTTCTGTATATAGTCTCGAGGACCCAATTTGATTGTTACAACGGAGTTGAGATTGGCATCAGTTACGGGGTTTTGAGCAAACATTGTAATTGAAAGCGTTGGCAGCTTGCCTCAATCGATATCAAAACCGGATTCAAGCATTGCGTAGTTTTGCGAAAATATTTTTTTAACCATTACTTTTCCGAGTTTGTCACTAAATATATTAATGTTGACAGTGATTGCACCACTATCAAGAATAGCATTGATCAGCACATCCACGACTACTTCAGGAAAACGCATATGTAAAAAGCATGTTTCCACACTCGAGTACAAAATACGTCCATTTTCCATTATTGTTTTTTGGAATTCCTCGGGCAGATCCACTGGTTCGTCATTGACTAGTATGCTTTTGATGTTGACAGTAAATTGATCGTCTGATGGTGATTGTACCCATGCAATACTTGTTCCATCCGTTCCGCATTTTGCAGTTACGTCCGTGTTTCCTATATTGATGAAGCTATTTGAAGTCATTTCATACGGACATAGTTGAAGACCAATCTCGTTATTGGGAATGACATCATTGGTGTACAAAGCATCCATTGCAGTGATTGGTGGATGATGTTTTGACAACGAGGGATAGGCAAAGCCAAATACTCCATCAAACTCTGGATTGATACCAACCGAATCTGGTGATTGTTTTTGAACTGCTAGTACTGGTAAATTGATGTCAGTTATCCTAGTACCCGGAATCGTCACAACGGCTGTGGATGTAACTCCTTTATACTCATCGCCTTTGTAATCTATAGTAACGGGTTCCCCACTTGGAGTGTGTTGCGGAGTCAAACTCACATCGTTGCTTGAACTAGGAAGTGGTACGACTATATCAGACATTGTTGAATCGACTTGCAAACTCAACTATTGTAAACAAGTGTGAGATTGATCCAACGTGGTATAAATTGATATCAAACTACAATAAATGACATAAAATGATACATACATTGACTCCATCAACATTGACTTTAATTGTGTAGCATTTTGTTAATATCACCACCCAATTCAACGGGTGATCGTTTTGACAGCCTATTGTTTGATTGACTGGCAATCCCAATTGGTGATTCTAATGCAAGTCGAACTGCAGCATCCGCTTGTAACGCAAGTATAACGCATTCTAGAGTAGTTAGCATTGTACCGAGTAGTGTGATGAAAATGGGTTGAATCTGATACATGACTGCCGTTTTATAATGACGGCAGCTTCAAGGGTGACAATCAGCAATCTCCAAATGAATGATCAGAAAACACAAATACACCCTGTAGGGTCAACAAAGCCGAAAACACACTGTAGGGTGAATCGATATACAAGCATCGTTGTTGGTGGAAAATCAACCTCGGTAATATTCTGCGTTGATATTTCCAATTGCGATCATGTATCCAGTGATCAGGTAGTGTCAAATTGTCACCCTGATTATGGATAGTTATAATCACACCTACAATCCATCACTACAGCATATACTGTCACTGTATACCAAATATTTGACTGATTGTTCAATTGGTCATGTATTTGATCTGTCCGAGTGATTCAAACCATGTCGAAATGGTTGTTGAAATATAAATATATATCATCCAAAGTTGATTCAGATTGTCGCTAGCTGTAATCTGTTGATCTGTCAATGTGTGACCATGTGTCAATGCACACAGTAAACTTGAAACCAACTTGCATAGTTGTCAATGTTCAAATCAAAGCCGCAAAGTTTCATTCTATTTATCATGGCTCATGGCTCACGGATAGCTGATCAATAAATCACATTCGACATGATTGACATGATTGTTTTGTTGGACATATTTCAGTAGATTTGGTTAGTTACGATTTCAACCAATTCAACAGCTTTGGAAATAACAGTGGTAGCGTAGTAAATGGTTTTAATAGCAACAATTCATATCGATTTTGCAAGATTCATATTTTTGATGTAGAAAATCATGGTTTGTAACAACTATTTGTTGTGTATACATCATAAACTATCAACCATTTGGTCATGCATCAACACCAATGTACAGTGTGACATGGTATGTTGAATAGATTCAATGTTGATTCAATATTCCCAATATTCCCAATACTATAAACAACATATGGACACCAAACAATACCAGTTTTTCAACCGATATTCACAACTAAATTAGTCAGACTATTTATCCAAGATGTGCAACCCAGACCAAACATCATGTGTGCAATGGTGGGTGGTTTGCATGTTTGAATAATGGACAACGTTCAGTGCTAGACTAATACCCAATGTAAATCATCAAATGATGGCAGGGTTTTCAACGGATAGTTTCGATTACATCTTGACCAATAGCAAGTGTTGATTGGAGGTGATCATCAATCAACAATCATGGACAAAACTCGTTCAACTATATAGTGGATGAATGTAACATTGCATGATTGTCTACTTATCAGCAATATGTATATTAATGACATGAACAAACAAATGGATGATATCATTAGTACAGGTTTTGATCAAGGTTTTGAAAACCAACTCCAAGTCTTTGCGCCAGGTTGTCATAATCTTGAATGACTGATGACTGTCAGTGCAATATTCCTACTCAATACGTTTATGGACACGGTAGTTTCAGGAAATCATTGCATGATTGGTTACTTTGACATGTTGGATTTACATGGTACTCAATGGTATAATTGATAGGTCAATTGGCAATTGTTTCGTGTTTTTAGTCATTTATTTGCCTGCAATAAAAGCGGCATGATCTCATATACCAGGAGTTTGACAAAAATACAAGACTCATTGTCATGACACTATTTCAAGAGCAGTCATTGCACATTGGTGTTCACCAGACAAACAAACCATCGA